GGCAATGTGTGTTCATACATTACAAGTTTTGACAGACTTGGCAAATAATTAATAAATGATATTGATAGTATCTTAATGACTTGGCCATACAGTCATGACAATTTAAGGAGTGAAAAGTGAGCGATAGGTCTTGTGGGAATTCAAAGATTCATTAAGACTGTAGCCGTCTAAGCGATAACTCCTGTGTGTAATATTTGTAAATATTCTATCAACTGAAAACATGCTTATAATAGTACGATAACAGTTTGTTTACTTGCACGTGGTGCAAGTAAATGTGTCATCTACAAAATAAACTGTGATTGTGGGCAGAGCTACATAGGCGAAACTTCCCGACCCATCAACACCCGAGTGAAAGAACATCAGACCTCTGTTACCAATTCCGACAGCAAATCAGCCATCTCCGACCACATCAAAGCAAGCCCCAATCATCAAATAGAGTGGTCTGACATCACCATTCTCTCTAAAAAACAAACAGACTTCACTAAACGCAAGCTCACCGAAGCCATCCACATCAAACGCCAAAAGCCCAACATCAACCGAGACCAAGGATACTTCATTCCATCCGCTTATGATGCACTCATCCACCAAGCCCAATCTACTGTATAAACTCTGCTGTATAAACTCTCATTATTATTTGTACATCATTGGCTTCCACGCCTGTCCTTTGTCTACTCTCTGGCTTAATCAGCTTTCTGCCTAGCCAATTATGTTAATTATGTTGTTTTCTTGTTACATTGTTACATCCAGTATATATATACTTCCCCCTTCTTCATGTTCCATTATGCTTGACAACGGTACAAGAATCTGTATCGAAACGTCGCACTCACGAATAAAAAGAAGTTGTTATCCATAAGTTTGTTCTATAATGCTTCTTATATTAATATTATTTTCATGGATTTTCATCATATTTTATCTATAGCTGTGCTATAGTTTTTCATTAAAATGTCTTTTCTGTTGCTGGAATTGAAGTAAGTCCCACACAGAGCTGGGATCATATGTCTTTGAAATATACATTTTTCAAACGGCTGGAACCTTGTGTTCCAATACAAAACGTGCGTAACGCTACGACATTCGCATGCCTATGATAAACTATATAGAGTTGGCCTCAACCATTGACTGGATTACATTCTCTTCGTCAGCAGAGAAATTTCGATTTCTCTTTTTCCCTTGGGGTGCGGGCGACATTTTGCGTTTCCAGTTTTGGTAAACCGGAAGAAAACAGAAAACGGAACTATGGGATATATGGAAGCTAACCAGTGACGTTGACCACACTGTTAAACTTTGACGGCGACGTTAGCTAACGGCATGACTAACCATGTTTTGAACAACGCATATATAACGTTCGGTTACCTAACGGCCGGTTAAGGATTTAACCGGCCGTTAGAGTTAACTCCGGCGGTTAAGATAACCGAGTATTGAACAACTGGGCCCAGATAGATAGTTAGTTAACCAACTGAGTACGTTTCCACGAACACCATCATTTTTCTAATTTGTGCAATAAACCTTTATGCCATGCCCTGTAAAAGCTATTGATATATCACAAAACAGCATACAGTAAAGGTGGTGATTGTCTAGGACTGAGCATATATTATGATAAATGTCTATGTTGAGATGTGGTAAAATGACTAGCAGTAAAACCTGACTGGAATTAACTTAAAATGTTATATTCATGGAAATGGTCGTGCATATGCTTTACCATTATTCTTTCAAGGATTTTCCAAAGGATAGGTATTAAACTAATAGGTCTGTAATTAGTTGGGATGGATGCATTTCCTTCTTTCAAAATAGGAGTAACATTACCCGTTTTCCACAATGTAGGAAATACAGTCACTCAGTGATATATTATACAACAAACAAAGAGGTTCAGCTATAGATATACAAATTCGTTTTAACACTCTCATGTTAATGCGATCAGGTCCACTAGATTTGTTTGCTGGTAAGGTCTTATCAGATTCCTCCTTTTCGGTTACAATGACATTTGTTATACTGTTAACACAGCGATGGCTAACAGGTGGCAAAGTCTTGCCGCCATCAGTAACATTTGAAACAGATACAAAATATTCATTTAATGTTTGACCTTTATCCAAATCTGTAAAAACTGAAGGTATCCCAGAATCATCAGTGACAAGAAGGGGAATGGGTCCCGATGAAGTAGTAACCACCTGATTGAGTAGACTGAAGTGATAAACAGTTATCAAAAATAGATTAAAAGTTTCCCTTGGCTATTCTTTTCAGATTATTTACTTTATTCCTTTGCTTTTTGTATTTAAATAGCTCAGAAGTATTCAGAGATCGAAATGCTTTTTTCCTTAGACGTTCTCATTTCTTTGAAGTATGTTACGAGGGGCGTTGAAACGTAGTCAAACTAACTATATTCTCGATGTCCAATGTTTGATAAAAAGCTTCCATTTTATTTTGAAGGAATCATTAGCAAAGTCATATCCAAAACTGCATGTGGGTAATGTGGTTAACGAGATATTAGTCATCACAACATTGGGGTATTAAGTTTCTTGCAAATTTGCGGAAAATGGAAAACGAGTAATAGGAATAGTCCGCTTATATGGCGCTCACACCCAGGCACATTGCCTGCTCACGGCGCTACGTACATTACTATCCCCGATCATAGGACACTATCGTAGTTTCCGATACTTTTCAACTCCCTGGGGACTGTACAGCCAAGCTGCCTGTTAGGCGCAATGAACTAAACACTCACATTGCCAGCGCATACTCACGGGTACCCATTTACAGCTGGGTGAACTGAGACAGTGTAGATCTAAGCATCTTGTCCAAGGATACTACGCAAATGTGCCCATCTCGGGAACCGAACCTCGGTGCCTCCTCGAAACAGGGCCTTCGGCGTGATAGGCAGACGCCTTTACAACTGCACTATTGCGCTATCTCTTGGATAATGGTATACCCTCAGATAGTATCATATAAAATATGTTCAGCATAGTATTGGATGACTTCCCGTCATCATCAACATTCAAAGATTTGGATTGCTTGATTGACATTAAGACGGGGACTGTTTTTTAGGACACCCTCATTTTAAATTTTCAAAAACATTGTGTCCAGATATACAACATATTGAGAGCTGACACTTGTGTGACCATTCAGTATTTAGTTTGAACCCTTGACACCATGTATGAATAAGTGAAAACTTTAGGATGAGTTATATCCTTATGATGACGTCAACTGAAAGGGGGTGGGTAGTGTCTCCAAAACAAGCCCTTTCAGTAAACATGAAGGGGGAGTCACTTGAACAAGCGATTATAGTTTAAAATTGCTTTTTTGTGCAGTTTAATATCTAAGTTTGACTTTTACCAACATACAACATGTTTTTTGCATATTTTGTTTCAATTGGTGTAGGGGGATTCCCGCCAATACACCTTGATATAAAATTGGATCAAAATCTATTAATTCTTTCCTAAGTTCGCGGCTACCAAGCTTGGCATGTGCAAAACTGTTACACCTTCGCTGTGACCTTTAAAATGACCTCAAGGTCACTAAATTCAAGTGGTGTCGGTAAATCTCGTCAATAAACCTTGGTACCAAATTTGAACAAAATCCATCATTTCTTTCTCGAGTTCTTTCAGTAAACCGAAGGGGGAGTCATTTGAACAAGCGATTGTAGTTTCAAATTGCCTTTTTGTGCAGTTTAATATCTAAGTTTGATTCTAGCCGACCTCTACCAATCTCAAACATGCAAAATGTTTCTTGCATATTTTGTTTCCTGAAGTTTAATTTGTGATGCATTTCATTGCTAGTCAGCTAGGCTATTCCATTTGTCCGAACCACAACATACGGAGACAGATCATTTAGCAGACCGGGTGCTGTACTCTGGAACTGATTACCTGAAAATGTCAGAAAATGGGAAAATATCAACAGTTTCCGATCTTGTCGCAAAACCATCCTCTTCAAACGAGCATTCGACTAAGCGCACATGAGCAGGACTCTGGATATGTAGCGCTATACAAATGTCTAATTTGATTTGATATACCCGTTAGAAACCCCCCCCACCCACCCCACTTTATATTTATACATATCAAAACCTGAAAAGATATTTGCGAAAAGACATGATACAGAGGACAGTTTATATCGATTATATATCAGGACGAATATCATTTTCGTCATTTGTCTAAGATTTGTCAATTCTTTCTTGGGTTATCGCGCTAACAATCTTTATATTGGTAAAACCTCAGATTTTTGCTGTGACCTTGAAAATTATCTCAAGGTCACTCCATTTCACATGTGTCGGTGAATCTCGCCAATATACCTTGGTACCAAATTTGAACAAAATCAATCATTTCTTTCTTGAGTTATCGCCCTTACAAGCTTATTTGATGTATGAAATGCAACGAAAAACAAACACCCGCGTATTTACGAGTGATTAAAACTGTTATAACAATTTACGTAAATATTTATTACATTTTACCGCAACGAAAATTATTACAATTTACGTCAATTTTTATTACAATTTGCGTATTACAATTTACGTCAATTTTTATTACAATTTGCTGCAAGTATTACAATTTGCGTTTTTATTACAATTTACGTCGTAACACACCGAATGCACATGCATATGTTGAGTTGGTTGTAATGAACGTAAAAAATGCTGCAGTTCTAGATGCAGAGTTGTGTCCCTTTGTTGAAGTTTCGAATCCCAGACTATGTTTACTCACGATATGGCTGCAATACTGCCGCTGTGACTATTAACTTAACTAACTCACTCGTCACGATATGGCTGAAATATTGCCGATGTGACAATAAATTTTAACTCACTCAATTACTTTCAATGCTAATTAAGACTTCACTCTTTTGGACTACCCTTCGATATCCGAGGACATGTCGAAGTAGGAGTAATCTGAGATTCGACACAGCCGCAAAATGATGACATACTAAGAAATACGCAGCGACCAGATTTTAGTTTGACGCCACGGTGTTTCTCTATTTTTGGGATGATGAAAATGTTTCAAACAACGACATGATAATAATAAACGTACCTATACAAGTCAGGTCAATTGTCGACCACGTAGAGTCACCACTGCAGGTGCTGATCCCCGAACCTCCAAAGATGTTGTAGCCTTCTCGGCACATGTATGTGGCGGTGGCGTTGTATGACGTTGACGTCACCATCACATTTAAATCGACCCAAATAGGTGGCTGTCCACAATCAATCTCTGAAAAGATAACTAACTTGATATTCAAGGGAGTGAAACTTCATCAGAAAATCCATTGGTTTGACGTTTTGAGGTCCGTCTCTGTCCATCTATTCCAAATGATACTAATACCTACATAGTCACTCTATTATACTGCGAGTCATACTGCAGGAAGCTCATTCCAATTATTAGTGGTGACTATTAAGGGAAAACAACTATTGTGATAGTGATGGTCTATTGCATCATACTACTGTGATAGCGATAGTCTATTGCGACAAACTATTGCAATACTGTTGTAATAGTTTTGTTTTCTCCTTGAATTGTCTCATTAGAAGTCATTTCCCAATTGAATGTATAGTTTATATGAAATGAAAACAAGTTGAAGTAGTTTCAGTCTCTGTTAATAGCTCACAAGAAACTTGAAACCCAGATCAGGTAAAGATTTAAAACATGAACTTTTTGTTAGTCACATTTTTAAACTACGAGTCGCACGCTGCGTTTGCCGCCATGTTTGTTTAAGAGGTAATAGGGGCGGATAACTCTAAATCAAAGTGAACAAAACTAGTACTTCCTGTGTTTTGCGCTGCGCATTTCACCAATCCTCACGAAATGTGCACCATTTGTAATTTTACGTGTCTCCGCATTAATTTTTTTTTTACTGATTTCACTGGTTCATTTCATGTTCATATTAGGCGACAGGCTTAGTAGGTACCCGAGACGTAGAAATTATTAATGATCTGTTATTCATGTGTGTGACTCAGTGTAAAAAGTTAGTCAAAATCACCCAAAATGTGCATGTCTCCAATGATAGTATAACATTTTGAGTGAGGCTAGGCGGCTGACTTTGTGTGCTGGCGATTTGGTGCCTGACTCAGAGGGTGTGGGTTCTCAACCCAAAAAAGTACTAGAATCTGTATTTTACTAAGAATGTGTAATCCCAAATATAACACATGTTGCATTTGACCACTTCCTAAATGACATTGTGTAATCATAGCTTTCGGCCGTGGGAGCCGTGCCGATTAACACTTATCAGAGGTGTACACAAATTCTGCAGTCTAGAATACCAGTTGTCCGACTTCCATTTTTGTGGAAGTCGCGGTGGCTGAGCGGTCTAGGCGTCTGACTTTGTGTGCTGGCGATTAGGTGCCTGACTCTGAGGTCGTGGGTTCAAATCCCGGATGGGACTCAACCCAAAAAAGTACAAGAATTTGTACTTTACTAAGAAAGTGCAATCCCAAATATTGCATATTTTGCATTTGACAACTTTCTAAAAGGGCATTGTGTAAACATAGCTTTCGGCCGTTGGAACCGTTCCAATTTACACTTATCAGAGGGGTACACACATTCCGCAGTCTAGACTACCAGTTGCCCGACTGAAGGGCTGAAACACGTCTGTGTAATCTACGTGATGTAATCTACGAGACCTCATTTCCAAAGGAGCATCGTCATTTTCTCGGATTGCACGCAATAGTTACGTATCTTTGGCACTAACCGTCCACTGGTTCCAGAAGTAGTACTGGCGCAGTCATCCAAGCGCCAAAAGCACATGGCATGACGGACATTTTGTTCAGTAGCGGGATTGAATTGTGCACGATTGTCTAGTGACTGTCGTACCTGAGTACAACTGATCACACACTATCCGGGCTACTCAGGCAAGACAGTTTTATGGATCTGAAGTTATGGCCGGAACTCTTCTAAACATTAAATGATTATTTACTTTTAATTGGCTTATCATTGTTGATATTCTACATCAAACTAAACAGGTAACGTGATTACAGTTTCGATGAATTTTCACTGTGCTTATATACTGTCTGTACTTTAGATAATGAATGAAACGAAGAAACAGTTAATATCTTTTGTATCTTTTAATGCAACTCTGTGTAATAGAATAGCAACATTTCACCAGATTTTCTTTCTAAATTTCTATATAGATATGGTAGTGGTAACGTAAATTACAAGACTTGTATTCAAGTTGTAAAATGGCCAGGTTTTGTTGTTTATCACAATATAATACAGATAAAACTTATGTGAAATATATTTCCAGTAACACGTAGTTTTAAGCAAACCTGTATAGTAAGTTTGATGATCAATTTGCACAAATTAGTTTACCGAATCATAGGTTCCAAATCATTGATTGGCTAACTCCGTGTTCTTACTGTGTTGAAATCTCCATCATAAGTGATAACTATTTCAATATCAACACAGTAAAGGACCTTTTTGATAAAGTTAATTATCATTTAATCATTGATTTTTTAAAAGAGATAGATTTGTTAAATAAATTTTGATATATGTTTTGTAAATAGAGAAAGTTTTATAATTGGTAGTTCAGATTTTCAACTTATATTGTTTGTGGCTGTATCCTCAAAGGGGGTTGAAGTAGCGTAAAATTATTGTCCTCATGAGAGTGTACGTAAGTCCCAAAAACTTTCAAAGTCAATTTTGCTGAACCATACTTTTTAATCGTAGTATGTTTGTTATTTTAAATTTCGGCTCAATCTTCCTGCAATCGTCAGCGGCTGAAGGGATGGTGTAAATCCAACTAAGGTCCATGCAGGTAGCAAAGGCACTTTAAGTCCCCATGGACCCTAGTATGGTGATCTACCTTCGGTTGTTGGCGATCTATAGACCCTTCTTCAATTAAAATGTTTTAGATTTACATTCTAGTTTTATATTAATATCTGTGATAGTCTAGGATTTTTACTGTCCATCGTTGACAGGTTTTACTCTTCACAATGTTTTCATTTTTATATTGTATAAATTGTTCTCGTCACGATATGGCTGAAATATTGCCGATGTGACGTTAAATATTAACTCACTCACACACTATCTTCGTGTTCTCCTTGACATCTGACTTTTGATAGTTTGAATTCTATGAACAATAAATGATGTTCTAACAATAAAATGACTTATCATTAAAAAGGAAGAACTTTACTTTTTTATCATTTCCATCTATCAGTTGGTGCACATTTCGTGAGAAAAACATAGGTTATCATGCTCGTGTGTTTTGGGATGGTTAATATCCTGCATCAGGAATAATCATTGTATTTAGCGAGCATTGGCGAGCTAAATACATAGTGTTTATTCCTAATGCAGGATATTAACCATCCCAAAACACACGAGCGGGATAACCTATTTATCATACAATGTCGTTTTTGCTTTATAATTTTACAAAATGCAATTTCAAATGCCACAAATCAAGAAACTAAACTTCGTCTTCGTCTACACTTCGAAACTAATCTATGACGTCACAAATATGTGCGGAGTAATACGTTACGTCACGAGCCCGGTGACATAAATTTCTCCTGATCACTCAGCGGTCATCTAGTTCCCAGTAAGCTTTTATGCTACAGCACGTATTGTTGTCAACAATCTTAGCTTACGTTTGAAAAATAACAACAAACTCACGTGGAATTTCAGAAACATTCAATTAACCTTTTGAAAAACCAAATACGCTTTAATGTTAGCGTGACATTGTGCACCGTTCTCTCGCTAACACTGACAGTCGGTCGGAGAACTGATGTTGGTATCTTCGTAAGCCTATGAATTTCTATGTTCGCCTTGAAATCTACTCCATCTATCAAAACCAGGCATGAATTTTCTGAGATCAAAGCACTGACAGTACCGTAACCACGGCCGTTAATCCGGACACGACTGCCGACCGATGACGCCATGTTTGTTTACACTGTGAAAGTAGTCCCTGAAATTTGCACATGACCTCTCTAATTTGCATCGATATTCGTATATGACCCGAACGGATACCCAAAATATCCGTTGGCTTTATCCTGCCGAGAACTCTATCCATTGTATGATAAAGTGAGTTAACGGAAGTCAATTACTAAACCATCGATAGTTTTTCGTTTCTACAATCGATTTATTGCTATCGGAGATTCAACAATTGCAATCCATGGACAGTTCGATGCATCGTTACAGCATTAACAATTATGTTGTCGCCATTAGTTCATTGTGATTCCAAGTACAACAAATGTAGCTATCACGGTCAGTCTACGTAAGTTTATTCACTTCATTTGTGTCATCAGATCATAATTACTTGTATACAAGGGTTACAGTCATGTTATATTCACCCTTGTATGGAGTGCCTGAAATCAATATTTAACCTTAGTATTGACTGATATATTGTAAGGCCATTTTGGTCCCAGAAACGCGCGTCTCGCATTATTCAACTTAAGCGCAAGATCAATGAACGACGGTAGATCCAGATTAAAATAATCAATATATTTCCTGTAAAAGACCCGCCGAACCCAAATGCATGTGCTATCTTTGAAAGTATACAATGCCCTGGCTTCGGTTTGTGTTCTTCAGCGTGTTGGTTTTAAAACAGCTTTCGGGGTTATTTTGAAGGGATAAGCTGAGCCTAAACCAAAGGCCACGGGTGCTTTGTGCTGATATAATCAAAGAGGCCTGTAGTAGTAGTAGTAGTAGTAGTAGTAGTAGTAGTAGTAGTAGTAGTAGTAGTAGTAGTAGTAGTAGTAGTACAGCCAAGCTCTAAAGAACAATCTTCCAGTCACCCTCAGACGAAATGAGCCCCATTTATCTTTCAAGAACTTGCTGAAAACCTACGGCTTTTGAACTCCTTTTACTCTTACTGTGTTTTAACGATGTCTGCAGCGCCGTTGACATGTATATATAAGGGCTATGGCGCTTAGGAACGATAGGGTTTATAAAACACCAGCTTTTAACTATGTCCGAGATACCGAAATCACTTATGTTGGTCTGAGTGCTTCTCATAAGTCAAGCTGCTAATCACTAAGTTCGATGACACGAGCTTGAACTTGTTATTATAGCTAAAATTCATGGAATTATCATGAAAAGGCCCTCCTATTACCAGAAATTTGTGGGCCGCTGCAAATGGTATTGGACCGCTCAACCTTAACGACGGGCCACTATCAGTTCTGTTGTCAAGTGACGTCATAGTGGGTGGGTGGGCTTACGGTTCATTCGACTTTGGACTGGCAGATAGTCTGGGGCAAACAAGTCAATGCAACCCGAATTCCCGCTTTAGCGGTAATATTTAAGTTTCTTGCTGGTGCTAACCTTAACAATTGCACTATTAACGTTGTTGTTGGACCAACACCGAACACTGAAAACTGACGTTGTGTCTGACATAGTTTGACATGTTGCAGGCCATGGTCTTGTCAAAGACCAAGGTCGAATATCGTCACGTTCTGTTGTGACGTCACTTGCATTGTTTGATGACATAATTGCATTCGGTCAGTCAACCCCGTCAGAAGTTTGTTTTGAGTCAACGTACAGTCAAATTCCTTCATTGTTTCCTTTTTCTTTTCAACACAAATTCAATGTATTTTAGCAATAATAACGGTAATGCTATTTTTGAGGGCAGTGAATGGAAGACCTAGGGCTTCTGCAAATGATAAGGCCCTCAAAAATAGCATTACCGTTATAGTAGATCTTCACGCGGGGGCATGGTAAAAGATTTTAGCGAGACTGAGTGTTCACTAATATTTACTTGAACTAAGAATATCTGTTCTTCTTACCCATGCACGTAAGATTGACTTCAGTCCATCCCCCGCTTAACAAGCACGTGGTACTGTTATTTCCGCCAGTCTGCACGTGTCCTTCATCACAGGCATACTCTACTGTCGACCGGAACTTGGTTGAGGACAGGGTGTAGGAAGCCAACGCCACGTAAGGAGGACTGCCACAATCAATGTCTGTTGGTAAATAGTTGAACATTGTTAGTATCTCATCTATCTATATGATGACATTGGTGAATTTGTTGTTTTAGGTCGCACTCAGCAATATTCCAGCTATATGGCAGCGGTTGCAGTTAATCGAGTCTGGACCAGACAATCCAGTCATCAACAACATGAGCATCGATCTTCACAACTGGGATACGATAACGTGTGTCAATAAAGTCAGTGTGCCTGACCACCCGATTCCGTTAGTCGCCTCTTACGACAAGCATGGGTTGCTGAAGATCAGTTGTAACCCGGACCTTCACGGGGCTTACATGATGATGTCGTATATGACGGCGGCCAGTAAATAACCGAGACTGGACCAGACAATCAAGTGATCGTGGTATTGCTATGGTGCTGACAGAACAAGGTGATTATCCGGGTTAATCCTGTGACAGCTAAGGGACGTAATCCCGTAACAGTATATTGGGGGATCACTTAGCCACTCGTACCCATGGGAATCATATTCAAGGTTGGACTCAGCACTTGGTACATCACCATCACAAGGGATAAGTATTTCAATGTCAAAACATTGAAGGATCTTTTTAGTTTGTATTATCATTTAATTATTGCATTTTAAAAAGAAATAGAGTTATTGGATAAATTTTGATTAAAGCTGTGTAATTAGTTAAATCTTTTATGATTGTAGTTTAAATAAACAACTGATATTGTTAGTGGCTGTATCCTCGAAGGGGGTTAAAGGGTACAGTTGTACTGTAAACTTATTGTCCTCCTGAGAGGATACGTAAGTCCCTAAACAATTAGAGTAAATTTAAACTTACTACTATTTTTAATCGCAGTATATGTGTTATTTTGATTTATGGCTAGATTGCCCAAAATTGCTAACATCTGAAGAGATGGTGTAAACCCAACTAGGTCCATGCAGGAAGCAAATATACTGAAAGTCCCCATGGTCCCTAGTATGGTGATCTACCTTCAGTTGTTGGCAGTTCTATAGCCTGTTTTTACATTGTATTGTCATTTCTATTGGCATTGTTGGCAATGGACATTTACTTTGGTTCAACAAATTCGGACACGCTTCTTTAGGACTATATATAGAACAAACTTTATGGATAACAACTTCTTTTTATTCGTGAGTGCGACGTTTCGATACAGATTCTTGTACCGTTGTCAAGCATAATGGAACATGAAGAAGGGGGAAGTATATATATACTGGATGTAACAATGTAACAAAGAAAACAACATAATTAACATAATTGGCTAGGCAGAAAGCTGATTAAGCCAGAGAGTAGACAAAGGACAGGCGTGAAAGCCAATGATGTACAAATATAATAATGAGATGTTTATACAGCAGAGTTTATACAGTAGATTGGGCTTGGTGGATGAGTGCATCATAAGCGGATGGAATGAAGTATCCTTGGTCTCGGTTGATGGTGGGCTTTTGGCGTTTGATGTGGATGGCTTCGGTGAGCTTGCGTTTAGTGAAGTCTGTTTGTTTGTTAGAGAGACTTCTTTAGGACTTTAGATAACATCGGTTCCATCAGTCTTTTAACACATTTCCTACTATATAGGACCATATCTTTTGTAATATGAATGAGCGAAATTGAACGACCGTCGATCAGTATGAACGGTATGTGACATATGACTAGCTGATTTACATATCAGTCGGGTCTTGCAAGCAAATTATGTATTTTATGGCGTTTCTAAGCCGTGGGTTAGAGTATTCGGCAAGTGTAAGTATTTTGTTTGTTTTCCTTTTACTTAGGGCACAATGTGTTAAGCCCATTTCTGGTGTCCCCCGCCGTGATGTTGCTGGAATATTGCTAAAAGCGGCGTAAAACTAAACTAAGAAGTCCTTTTACTTAATGAATTGGCATGTGGGACATTTTTTATTATTTAGAATAATAGCGCTCTGTAAGCATTCGTACAGTGACGGTATTCACAGCCAATAAATGCCGAGAGTCTGGTTACCATTAATGGTTTGTGTAATACTTTATCTTTAATTTTAATGTTATTAACTGCTGGTCTGATTTCTCAGTTTGTTGAGGAGGAGGTTTGTGTAACAATCTAAACGGATCTGCATATCTTCTCTCCAAACTTGAAGGTGGACATCAGCCAGCTAAACGTCGACGTGTAGCAATCAGATTTACCAGCTTGGACTTGAATACATGATGTGAGAGGGACATGGCTTCCTATTTGTTAGCTTGTGGAGCATTGCTCAACTGAAAATGTGAATTGACGTGTGATATATGCCCGGTCATATGACTTAATATGTATATGTAAAGTCATGGACATGAATATGTAAATGTATCGTAAAACACTCGTTGGTTTGTTGTGTTTCTTTTTCATCATGGTATTCAAAGCTTTTTCAAAGCATCACGCCTCCGTAATTAGTCCAACACTGATGGTAATTAAGCTGATTTGATTAAGAGAGGCCAGTGGGGGAAGGGGCACTCCGGGCATAAATCCGAAGAGAAATCAGTTCTCCCGACTGCATTATGGTTGTAACTTTCTCTCACCTTCCCCGGTTTAAAAGATATTATTCTTTCGAATTTGATATCATTCTGTGTGACGCGGATTATTTTCTTTTATAATTTGTCTATTTATCTAAGCATTTACACGGCTGGGCATGGCAACGTATTTAGGAAAATAGACCATGGCAGTTTGACCAAGCCTTATTGAAATAGTCTCTATTACAGTTAATGACACAGGTATACATTGTTAACTTATAGAATTCAGTGAGCTCCTTCTGTATGAACAGGCATGTTGGTGGGTAACTATTCTTTCTAAAGTTGAAAATGATTCGTTTTGACAGAATGATGACAAGGTTTAGGGATAGTTATTTTTCGATAGATAACCAAAAAGAACGTTTTCTTTGGATATTGTTACCAGACATGGCAGTTTGTACGATATCCAACCTTCCAGGTCTCCCCAGATGGAGCTCACTTTGTTGCATTCCCAGAGTATGTGTATGACATCTTCCATTTGTTTTGAACAGTAACAGCATTTTGTACTGTCTACGTAACCCATCTTAGAGAGAAGACAGTTGGTTGGCAATATATGGTGTAAGATTTGATATTGGGACCACTGTAGTTCAGTCACTTTCGTGCAACTAAATGGGATAGAATTGATACTCTTCCTATCTTGTTCGTTAATATCATGTCCATGGACGTACTCCCATTTAGCGAAGTGGTTATTTCTCTCGCATATGTTTTTAATAAGTATTTTGTAGTAATACTGTGAACCTTTTTTTGTTTGTTCAGATGGTATATATGGAATGGTAAAAGAGGAGATTGTAGAAAAGTGTTTAATTTTGGTAATCGTTGGCTTCTAAAAAATTATTTTACAGCTTGAACAACACCTGTGCATGGATTATTTCTAGTAGAAAGTTAGTTTTCACGTTGAAAACAGTTTTGAAGGTTTCGAATGGCATGAATTGTCCTTTCTTATCTACAAGATCGTTGATGAAACGTACCCCATTTACAAACCAATCTTTGTAAAATATGCTGGTATTTCCTAGTTTTATGTTCTCGTTGCACCAAATATATTGTGCTAAAATGCCCTTATCAATTATACTCTCCCCGTGGATGTTATCTATAAAGTTCCACCAGGCCTTCATAAGGTCTTTGTAGTATGCATTTCGTATCCTACTAGTCATTTGCAAACTAAGTTTCTTACAGGTAATTTCAAAAGCAGTATAAGGCCCATAACGAGGTATATTTAAGAAGAATAATGGGCACCACTTTGACGTTGATTTTGATGCTCGTCGTACCATTGCTATTTTTGTGCATGGATTATTTCTAGGATTTGGGGGCATTTTCTACCTCCTTCTGATGGTCCACAAATAATCTGGCTTCTCCTTACTTTGTCGGGTTTATTTCCCCAAATGAACGCAAAACACTTTTTTTTAAATCGTTTAAGCCTAATATCTGGTGGATCTGGAAGAGATGAGAATAGATTGTTGCATTTGGGAAGAATAAGTGATTTTAGTATGGTGTTTCTCCCAAGGGGTGTCAGATTTCTTGAAGTCCATGTACACATGATGGTTTCGCATTTTCTAAATGTATTGTCATAGCTCAAGTCAATCATTTCGTCGAGATCAGTACTGAATTTTATTCCAAGTAGATCAAACGGATTTTGTCTCCAATCCAGGTTCCATTCTTGGCATAGTTTAATTCTAGAACGTTTTCTTGATCCTATCCAGAGTATCCTGGTTTTATCTATATTTACTTTTAACCCAGAAAATCTCGCATAGAAGCTAAGAACCTGTAGTACAGCGTAGAGGCATCGTTCTGAGGGATCAAGAGAACAAGTTGTATCGTCTGCAAATTGTGAGAGTAAATATTCAATGCTACCAATCTTAATACCTTTTATGTTATTATTGTTTCTTACTATTATTGCTAGTATTTCAGCACATAGTATAAAGATGTAAGGGGATAAGGGATCACCTTGTCTACAACCCCTAAATATTTTGAAATGGGGGGATTCAAAGCCATCAACAATTACACATGATTGAATTTCGTTGCAAAGGGTTTTTATACATCTTTTTAGTGAAATACCAAAGCCCAAAAAGTTTAGTGTCTCGTCTGTAAATCCCCAAATCAACTGTATCGATTGCCTTTTCAAAATCTACAAGTAGTAATAAACCTGGTATCTGGGAGGTATCTGTGTAGTCCAGTAAGTCATATATGTGTCTCGTTATTTCACCTATGTATCTTCCAGTCATAAATCCTTTTTTGTCATCATTAATCAATGAATTTAACACGGTTTTTACCCTATGTGATATTGCTGTCGATGCGATTTTATAGAACACGGATAGTAAGCTTATTGGTCGCCAGTTTTTCAAGTATTGTTTTGGTTTATTTCCTTTTGGAAGTACTGTTATTATAGTACTTGTCTTTGTGATATTGATAATTGTCCATTTTGTAAGCGCTATTTAATGACTTTAGTAGATATTTCCAAAGATCGTTCCAGAAAAATTTGATAAATTCCGCATCAGCATCAATCAATCAGTT